TTTCGGGTCCGGTGACTGTTCTAGGGAAGGGTCACTGGACCGAAACGTTAACTCTGATTTTTTCCTTCACAGATTCTGCCAGACTTACTGAGCTTTTCCAGCAACTTCTGTTTTTGCTCCTGACTTATAGCACCCACAGTTCTTTCAGTTTTATTACTTACGTTTTATATTTTAATAAACTTTAATCAAGAGTTATCATGAAAGTTATAAGCATAAAGTTGACTAAAGTGAATTGGTGGATAGATGAGCAGGAAAGACAGTAAGCTAGCCCTGGCAGACATTTGAGGAGGTAATTTGTGACTCTCAGCATAATATACGCTCTGGTAAGGAGGAAAGATTTGAAGAGAGCGATTAACCAACCATGGCTAACCAAGGAAATTAAGGAGACCATTAAGTTGAAAGAGAAAATAAAATGGAGGCCAAAGTCTGTGATTGCCCTCGAGGCTGGGATAGATTCACAATCTGGCAAAGGAGTACTGAAAAGATAATCAAGAGACAATAGGGCAAAGTAGTGAGGAATATAAGTACAGTAAATAAGAACTTCTTTAAATATAAACTATGAACTATTCTTCTGTTTACAACTTGTCAAAGTGTGCTATTCACTTGAATTGTACTTTTCTGAGCATTTAGATTTTTGGGATGTGTGTGATCGTAAATAATCCTTTTTTTAAAACCATGAAAATTGCTGCTGTTATTTAAATTGACTGTATTCCAAAGTCTCCCTTTGCGGAAAAGAAAAACTGATTATGAACAGTAAAGGAAAAGCTACAAGCGTGTGAGTGCCTGCCTGATCTTGTCTGTAGGATCAACAGTCTTCTCCCACCAATAATGGTGTGGACCACTTATTGTAACCTTTGTAGTAAAATTAATTTTGAATAGATATTCTTCCTGATAAATGGTAGATGTTTATAAAGAAACAAAGTGACTTTTCCTTGAGTTGAGATTGTTTCAGTAGCACCAAATGGCACTAGTGAGAGGGTTTATTGAGCGGTGCAGTGTCACTTGCTTTAAGATTATGAGGAGCAAGTGTTGGAACACGTGTATTGGGTGTATTTTCAGTTTGTGGTGTTGAATTTTTGATGCTTGCTATTGGAATGCTGTTAACATAATTAGTTTTAGGTTGATTGAGTACTGTAAGCATTCCATCTGGACAAGATCCCGCTTGTCTGTTGCTGATGAAAAATTAATGGCTCTTTCTCTTTGCTGGTATGGTCTTTAATTACATTTGATCAGGTTCTGTATGCTTAGAATTCCTGGTGTTGACCTGATTTCACAAAATCTCCTTGGCTATTCTGATGGAAAAGATGTTGGGCTGAATTTTAACTGGCAAAGGAATGTGCTTATATGCAGATGGGGGTTATATCCCCAGAAAATGCAGTTGTTTTGGAAACATGCTGTGATTTCACTTAGCTTCTACTTCTACTGTTGCCCATTCAGAAATGCAGGAAAGCCCCAATCTGTAGATGTGGCTAGAAGGAAAGGAATGAGTGGAGCTGGAAACTGTGCTGTTCTGAGGAGTATTGTGCAGGAAAAATGCTGGGGAAGTCAGTCTATGAAGTTCAATCCTGAAAGTAATATGCCAGTCAATGTTCCTTCTCTCCTGAGATCTTGTGGCACGAAATCCATGTGCAAAGAACGAAGCTCCTGTTGCTCATGGCATCTGCCACTTCCAGCTGCATGTGTTGATCTGAAAGTCTAGTATTTACCTCCCACCTATCGAAAATAATATAACTCTATCAGGCCCCACAGCCTACAACTGGGAAACATCATACAACCAGAGTGATGTGTATTACATTGCCTTTCATTTGCCATTCCTGAAGTCTCATGAGTCTGGAAAGCACCCATTTGACCTCTACCACATCTCAATAATTGAAATCCTTCCATTGACAGGTACAGGTTGTTTATTATACTTTACCTCTGTGACTGATCAGGAAACCTGAAAGTGGGATGCTTTTGGTGCGACAGAGTTACAGCCATGGCAAAGTCCACTTCAGCAGCTATTGATTTCATAACCCGATGTTCCTCCCTTAACCCTCCACCTTCGCTGTGGGAGATTGGAGCTAAAATTCTGCCCCTCTTTCTAAATAATTGTCTATGGCATATTATAGCTGTTTTGAGTGCTCAGTAACAGCATCAATCAAGGTGAGGCAGCTGAGTATAGAGACTCATTTTTTTTTGTTTATTGAAGTTTGCCTTGATGGCTAATGAATAATGCCACTAGCGCATATTTACTTCCCATTTCAGCTGAGGCAACCTTGGAATCTGCCTCTTCACCCACTCTAGCGAGTAGAAAGTGACAACCTGCACTGACAAAAGAATATGTGCAAAATAAATGGTTCAGGATAAAGCATCAGCAGACAATGTGCCAAGAATCCTTCAAGTAGAGCACACATACCATAAACCTTATTAAGTCAGTGCAAAGGTTTAATGTGAGTGGAGATCGTTGCTGTCAAATCTTATCCATTTCTGTCCACTGTATAGTTACACATTCAATTTCATTAGCAACAATAGAAATAGGTGACAAATGTTATATGGGCACAAAGTGAAACTTACTGATTAAGCTTCAGCTTAATATCAGTTATTTTAATTCAGTGATAATACATAGTGAATAAGAGGCTACCTTTCTACTGTGAGCTTACACAAATAATGACTAAAATATAAGACACAACTCCTGTTTCTCTAAGGAGGAGAGTGGACTAAGCACTTATTGCCCATCCTTCGTTACTCTTAAGAACGTGAAGTGTCTTTTTCAGTACGACTAAGTAGCTTGCTCGGCTAGTTCAGAGCACAATTAAAGATTAAACCACTTTAAACCAGCTCAAGCTGCTTGAGCTATCCATTTGGAATGGACCTCGTTTTACCATGTAAAACAGTGTCAGGGGTGTGATGAGGCACTTAACTGGCCCTTAATTGTCCACCAAATAACTTGTATTTGACGAAGGGCAGGCTGCCAGAAACTTTTATACAGAGTGAGTGGGAAGGTGACATGTTGGATTTTACAAGCTTTCTGCCTTCAAACTCATCTAGCTTAATGTCTTCTGTGAAATGCATGTAATAAGGTTGACTATTAATGGTAAAGGTATATCTTCGTAATAAGCAATTCTGCAAATACTTGCTTTTTAAAACTTTATTCAGTCTCTTTTCCAGGAATATGTTATTTTTTTATTTTTGTTAGTATGCCAGTAGTTTACTCAAGTTTAATGGGATGAAAGCCATTAAAAAATGCCTTGCTTTGTATTTGATAAAGCAATTTAATCAGAAATCCTCTTCACCTACAGCAAAGATGCTGGACATGCACTGTAAGATAAAACAGTACGTTGTGTGATTTTAAATAGAGTGTGATTTTTCTTTTGCAGTGTGTCTTGTTCTGAGATGGAATGTGTTTTGAGTGAGTTTGAAGATGTTAAATTAACACAAGTTGTTTCCTTTGTAGAAAAAAATTTCACTATAAATGTCACGTGTGGTGGTCTGCAGAATTTTAATTTGTTCCTTGGTATGTTCATGCTAAAGTGAAACTCTGAACGGCCTATTCTAAAATAAAGTTTGAAGTAAAAACATTGGGTAATGTCATTTTGTGAATGTTTTAATGACCAAATTTATTTGTTCTGGTGTAGGTAAGCATGACATCCTCTGGAAGTGTAGTACTTCCAAGTACTGGCTTGCATTAAGCCATTGTAGTATTTAACATTCTCTTTGACACTTTGTCTGTGTTGACTTTTCTACTCAAAATATCCCTGACCAAAAAAAATCTGCAATATTAAAATGAGAAACTGCATTCTGTGAACAGACACTTCCAAGGGGTTCTTTCGGCTCTCAGTATTTTCTAATATTGAGCATGCAATTTACATTTCTTCCCCCACCAGGTTTATTTTTAACTCTGCATTCACATTAGAATTTCTCTTCCTTTACTAGTATCATACCTTTGAGATGATTAGAGAGGATAGTCTTTATAAATTTTTCTATCTTATCTGTAGAGATCACTGGGACTTGCTGTTGTGAAAACACTGGCAAATGCCTTCCTTGGATAGAAGTCATTCTGCCAACTTGACAATCCCTCTCCCACCTTGTATGGTGAAACCTGCTCCATGAGCACCATCTTGCAGTTTGACAATGAGGTCTAAAGGAATCTTAATTATCCACTGGTTAGGCAAGATAATTGGGAAAAGCAAGCACACAATATGAGTAGCCGGTGCTGCAATGGTAATGTTGCTGGACTAGTAACCCAGAGGTCCAGCTTAACTCTCTGGGAATGTGGGTTTAAATCCCGCAACAGTGGTTGGTGAAATTTAATTAAACAAATCTAGAATTGAAAACTTATTTCAGTAATGATGATTATGAAACTACCATCAACTGTTGCAAAAACCCAGGTGGTTCACCAATGTCCTTTCTTTTGGGAATGAAATCTGCATCTTTATCTGGTCTGACTTATATGTGACTCAGATCCATAGCAATGTGGTTGACTCTTAACTGCACTCTGAAATGGCTCAGCAAGACACTCAGATCAAGGGCCATTAGTCATTCCAATGGCATCCACACCCCATGAAAGAATTTTTTTTTTAAAGACTGTTCACTGAATGCAGAAGTAGTGACCTAGTCAGGAGGATAGAAAGTAATATTTATTTAAAATATCTGGAAGAATTAAAATCATACTGAGATTCTGTTAAGATGCACCCCAGGATCATGGCGATAATTTCCCCTCCAAGTGTTTGTGTGAGGAGAAATCAACCAGAGGCTTAATATTTGGTAAAATCAGAAGACTGGTCACAGTGGCTGTTTTTGCTTCACAAGACTGGCTTCAAGACATCACCTGGAAAAAAAAAGTTGACTCTTGAGAGGAGAGGAAGAGACTATAAAATATAAGACCTAAATATTTCTCAGTGCCACATTTTGAAGGTTTTTTTGTTTGTTGTGTTTTCTTTTGGTCAAGAAGATTTGATTTACAATTAGAGAAAAATTACTTTTCTAAACTTTTAATATCTGCAGTAATATCTTATTTACAGATATCCCAGAAGAAGAAGCAAAATATTGGACTCAGAAACTAGAGCAGTTAAATGCACTAAGAGACCATGATGAGGTGGGTAAAGGAAATAGAGCAATCATCTGTGCTAATCCGGTGTATAATACAATGCCAAACTGATGTTTGTAACATGAATACAACATTAATAAATTGTTTCAACAATCATATTCTTATCAGTGGCAGTGTCAGAGGCAGTTCCTGGCTTGTACCATGTGAAGTGCTGTATAGATGGGCTTCAAATATGGTGCCAGTGGTGTGAACAGCAGAAGGTCCTGACAACGGTGAACACTTCTGCCTGTCCTACTGCGTTATTCCTGAGAAGGGCTTTGTCGAGCAGGATGCCTAATTAATGAGGTGAAGAGTAGATGATTACATGAGGAAAGTTGCAGAGTCCAACAGCAGGCTGGATACCATGCCGGAAAATGGAAAGATTCAACTTCTGCAATTCTCAGACGAGATGTCCATTTTTCCCCCACCAGTGCTTATGTTGCACTAGGCATAAAGCCAAAATTAACCCCCTAAACTTGACACCAGCAATCCAGAACAAAATCCACAAAGTTACCAGTCGAGTGTTCTGTCTATTTTGCTAGTAGCATGGTTTCTTCAGATTGTGTTGATCCATATGAATCTTTTGGTTGTTTATAAATTGATAAATTCAAACCACATTCTTAGTAATTATATCTGAAGATTTTAATGATGCTGGTACGACTAATACACCAGTATTTTTACTGCTCCCGTAGTGGTATTTTTAATGAAAAATAATATTTGATTGTATTTTGATTAACTGTTCACTTTCTTGTGTCATATCCAGTATTCAATCAGTGAAGAAATCCAGAAGAAATCTTTGCCGGTTGCTCCCTCACAGTGTTGTAAGTTTTCTTTCATAAAAAATGATTACCATCAAGTTTCTTGCAGCTTGAATCACTGTTCAGTGCTTGCTTAGGAAGATTTTTTCTTTCTCATATCACAAAAAGCATTTTTTTCTTACATTCACTCACAGCCTTTTATTTGAAAATCATTGTTGGATAATCCACTTATGTTGTATTCAGAATGCACCTTTAAGACATCTACTGTTTGTTTTAAAACAAACACTAAAGTTCCACTGGACGTACATTTGTTGCTTTGCTTTTTCAGAAAAATGTTTCCTTTGTGTGTTGAAAGAGGGGAACATTATTGATGCATAGCGATGCATATCACTTCTAATGTCCTTAGGCATGCACACTTAGAAAATGTGGACAGTTTTCAATGCTAGCAAACTTGTATTAGTTTTTGACAAAATTAATACCATACAAGTAAACCATATAATGGAATTATTGATTTGGATTATATGTTTTTAAAGGGTTTCAAATTTGTTCAAAATAAATGTAGGAATTTATTGCAACCATTTAATTCCTGTAAAATACCACGAGCAAAGATACATAGAAATAATGATTAGTATTTATCTAATTTCTTTAACTTTAAGAAGTAGAATCTTAGTCATGGAGATATGAGGAGTGATCCAGTTGAAACTTAAAATTCTTATGGGGTTGACAAGGATGCTGGGTGGATGTTCGGTTTGGCTGAGGAGACTACAGCAAGAAGCTGCAGTCTAAGAGTAAGAATGAGGGCGAGGAGAAATTGATCTCCCCGAGGGTTGGGAATCTTTAAAATCTTCTATACCAAAGAACTCTGGAAGATAAATTGTTGAGTATATCCAAGGCAGAGTTTCATAGATATTTGAATGTTTGGGACTAGTGCAAGAAAGTGGAATTGTTTGCTGAACATATGCAATGGGGAGTAGGCTTGAAGGGTTGAATGTCCTACACTTAATCTGATTTCTTAGGTTATTTTTATGTTCACTTGTGGCAAATTTGAAACACTTTCGAACAGTTTATTGTGGTGAAGGCACTACAATCAGAGTTAGGAGGTCATATTGCAGCTGTACAGGGCATTGGTTTTGCCACTGCTGGAGTATTGCGTGCAATTCTAGTCTCCCTTCCTAAAGGAAGGATGTTGTGAAACTAGAAGTAATTCAGAAAAGATTTACAAGGATGTTGCCAGGGTTGGAGGGTTTGAGCTATAGGGAAAGGCTGAAAAGGTTGGGGCTATTTTCCCTGGACCGTCGGAGACTGAGGGTGACCTTATAGGCATTTATAAAATCATGAGGGGAATGGTTAGGGTAAATAGGCGAGGTCTTTTCCCTGTGGTATGGGATTCCAAAACTAGAGGGCATAGGTTTAAGGTGAGAGGGGAAAGATATGAAAGGGACCTAAGGGGCAGCTTTTTAACACAGAGGCTGGTGTGTGTATGGAATGACCTGCCAGAAGAAGTTGGGAGGCTGGTACAATTACAACATTTAAAAGGCATTTGGATAGGTATATGAATGGAACAGTTTAGAGGGATGTGGGCCCAATGCTGGCAAATGGGACTAGATATATATGAGGACAACTGATTGGCTTGGATGAGTTGGACTAAAGGGTCTATTTCTGTGCTGCATATCTCTATGACTCTAAGTTACATGCTGAGTCTAATATAAAAGTACATTAATTATTGTTTTTCTTGTATTTTGATCTATTGTCTGTAAGAATGTGAAACGTTGAATTATGTTAGCCCTGATTTAAGCGTTAATAATTGCATATTATTTCTGTAATTTCTTCATGAGAACTACAAATATCTAACTTGAATTATGAAATGTGTCATGCTATTTGAAAAATATGTTATGAAGGATTTGAAAAATGTGTTGGACTGACTAGACAGTTGTAAAATATGGCTTTGCACTGAATGAAATATATGCTGGACCAAACTTAAAACTGTTGTGGCTCTCTGCCCTTAGCTTTCTTGTGCTAACGAAACTGACTGCTGAATTATACATGGCATGGCAGACTCCAAATAGGTAGGATTGTTGAAATCAAGGTGGTTACTTGGCTGCTCAGACTTAAACTTTTTATCCCATTTCAAATGTCAACATCGGGATCTTACAGTCAAATGTAACACCATCCTAAAGCAAAAACAGGTCTCAAGAGTTATACTGGTCAGTGTCCTGTTATGTCAGAAGGATGGTAATGGCATTTTAGTTGGAGATTGAGCGGGAGAACATCTGAAGTTTTCCATTCAGTCTAATTCAGGACTGTAGCTATTCTGCGGACAGAAGAGACTCTTCCACGTAAGTGTATATTTGCCTTCGCAAGTCCAGAAGGAATAAAACTGCTCTCCAGGTTCTGCAATTACAGCGTGGCCTCTTTTGCCCCTCCCAAAAGCTTGTCTATGATTCACCTGCCCATTTATGAGCCTTCACAAGGCTGTACACCTGAATCCTTTTGGCTGCTTGCTGGCCAGTTTTTGCTATATCTTTTTTGGTTGCATTTTCAGTCAACCCCACTGTTGCCTGCCTGAAACCCACCTGTTGGCTAATTCTGAAACTATCCAATTAATATGGAACTATACAATGAAAAATTTTTGTTTTTCAGTGCACGAGTAGCAGTTAATTGGTATAGTCTTAAAATAATTATGGAATTTCAAGGAGATCAAAACTGGGAGCTAAATATTCAGGGATATCTGACTTTTCAAAATGACAGACAGTAAGGAAAGGGTGGTGAGGTAGTTTTGTTAGTACGGGATAGCTTAAGTACGATAGCAAGAAATGATCTTCGATCAGAAGATGTAAAATCCATATTGGTGGAAGTAAGAAATAACAAGGAGAAAGAAGACACTGGTAGGAGTAATCTGTAGGTCTCCTAATAGGAGCTGTATGGGAGAACAGAGAATAAATCAGGAGATGAAGACATGTGAAAAAGACAGTATGTTAATTGTACCTGACTTGGATTTTCATGTACATTTGGAAAGTCAGATTCGCAGATGTAGCTGTGAGGAAGAATTCATAGAGTATTTTTGGTATGGTTTCCTGGAACAATATGTTGTGAATACAATGCCAATCAGGCTATTTTGGATCTGGTGATGTATAATGAAGCTGGTTTAAAAAATGATTTCAGAGTAATGATCCCCAGGAAACTGACCAGAACATGGAAGATGAGCATTCAATTTGAGAAGTAGAAACATAGCTGTTTGCAATCTACAATCTGTGCTACATGGCTGATTTCTAGATTTACTTCTAGATTTCTTAGTTATTACATGTCGGTAACATAAGATTTTTATTTTGATTCATTTTTAGTTCTTTCATAGTAAAAGACATTTAGATAAGTACATGAATAAGAAATGTTTGGAGGAAAATGGGCCAACCACAGGCAGGTGGGACTAGTTTTCTTTGGAATTATGGTCGGCATGGACAACTTTGACCAAAGGATCTGTTTTCACACTATATGACTGTATGAATGAGGGCAGAGTTCGCTGAAGTGAACTGGGAAAGGAGTTTAACAGTAAAGACAGTTGAGAAGCAATGGCGGATGTTTAAGGAAATAGTTTGTGGTTCACAAGAAAGATATATCCCAGTGCGTAAAAAGGATTTTAGTAAGGGGATAAGCCAACCATGATTAACCAGGGAAGTTAAGGATAGCATCAAATTAAAAGAAAAACATTCAGTGTGGAAAGGATTAGTGGTAAGCCTGAGGCTTGGTAAAGTTTCTAAAAGAAAAGCAAAAAATATTTGAGAGTACATTTGCAAGTCATATCAAGACTGAAAGCAAGAGCTACTATAAAAGAAGGAAGAGGGAGACTAAAGTGGGCATAGACCCTCTTAGTGAGTGTGGCTAGGGAAAGAAGAAGGAACTAGAAAATGGCAGAAATGTTGAATGAATACTTTGCATCAGTCATTCCAGTAGAAAATATTAATAGTGTTCCACAAGTTCTAAATAATGAAGCAGCTAAAGGGAAAAATAAATAAACGCAACAATTATCACAAGAGAAAAAGTGCGGGTAAAACTCATGGGACTGAAGATTGATAAGTCCGTTAGACCTAATGGCATGCATCCTACGATGTTAAAGCAAGTAGCTACAGAGATAATATATGCACTGGAAGTAATCTTCGAGGAATCGTTCGATTCTGGATAAGTTACAAAGGATTGAAAAACTGCCAATGCAACACTTTTGTTTAAAATGTGAAGACAAAAAACAGGTTTGTGTCTATTATCGAGGAAACATTAGAGTCCATTATAAATGATGTCATAGCAGAGCATTTAGAAATGCATAAAATGATGAAGCAGAGTGAGAAAGGCTTCAAGAAGTGGAAATTATGCCTGAACTAGAACACAGAACAGAACAGCACAATAACAGACCCTTCAGCCTGCCATATCTGTGTGTCAATCACGTTGCCATTCTAAACTAATCCCATCTGCCTGCACATGGTCCATATCCCTCCAATCCCTACCTGTTCACGTGTCTGTCCAAATGTCTGTTCAGTGTTGCTATCGTTTCTGCTTCTACCACCTCCTCTGGCAGCATGCTGGAGGTACCTACCACCACCTCTGTTGTATGTCAGGTATGATTTCCTCTTCTTGAAGCCTTTCTGAATTTGATTGATCAGATTATGCATTTCTAAAAAAGAAACTTGTCTTGCACATCTGCTTTAAACTTTCCCCTCTCACCTATGCCCCCTAGCATTTGACATTTTCACCTTGAGAAGAAGACTACAACTTGTCCACCTTATCCACCGTGCCTCCCATAATTTTATATACTTCTATTGCCCCTCAGCCTCTGACACTTTAGTGAAAACAATCCAAGCTCCTCCTTATACCTAATACAGTCCATTCCAGGCAACATCCTCTTTTACACCGTCTTCAAAGCGTCCACATCCTTGCTATAGTGTGGCAACCAGAATAGTCCACAACACTCAAAGTACTGTGCGCCTAACTAAAATTTTGTATATCGGCAGCATGACTTGCCAACTTTTATATTCAAAGCCCCAACCGATAAAGGCAAGCATGCCTTATCCACTTGT